TTATCGTACGAAGATGGCAACGAGTTCAATAGCAAGATGGCTTTATCTTCTTCCTCGATTTTCACTCGGAGGTTGGCAAGCTGTGTGATTAGTCCATTAAACACATTTAAATGTGACAAAAATTCGTACCTTCACTCATGTGTAGGGCGTATAACTGCTTCTTCAGGTACAATTTATTTGTCAGCGTTTTGGACATGTATAGGCTTTCCAACCTTGTCCAAATTCCACGCGCAGTGTCTTCATCAATGATGTTATTTACCACATCATCTGATAAGTGCAACCTGATTGCACTAGCAGCTCTTTCATCCAAATCAGCCCAATCCTCAGCTTTCATAGTATCAGGCTTTTTGGAATCAGCATCTAGAACCTTGTGTAATCCTTGTTGGATGAGCAGATCTCTCATCCTTTTTTGCCATGTTGAGAAATCGTTATCTCCGTTGAATTTTTCTACCTCGTACTTTACTCCGAACATTTTTATTTTTCACCAAGTATAGTACTACCGACAGTGAATAGTGTTTTAGTGAACGAGCAAAACCTGTGCTCTGATACCAGTTGTTGGGAATAAACCCCCTACCAAAATAATATTCACGGTAATAAAAGCGGAATAATAATGTAGCACCGAGATACGGTAATTAACAAGAATAAAAGAGTAACAATGACACCAAGATTTTTACGTAGAAAACCCTTCTGAATAAGGGGAAAACCACGACCCCGAGAGGAGCAACTGATATCACTATAGTAAGGAATTTACACTTTGTAGGCCCGAGTAAAATACTACAATACTCAAAAGAAATAACCCTCTTTTGATATTTCACCTCACTACAATATTGCTCACACTCTCTATTTTCTTCACAGACTATTTTTTTATACCCTGTCTGTGAAACCTCACTCTTTCTTTCTAGCTCTCAGATATATTTTCCTCTGAGATTGTGATAAAAGAATGAGAGCCGAAGATCTCATTTTATAGGCAGAATATGCCTACCAACCTTGACCTTTCAACTTCTGCAGCCTGTCATTTTTGACAGAAAAATGAGAAACGTGGGCTGCTTCTGCCAACTTCGAAAAATGAAGAAGAAAGGAAGAAAACAACTTCCTTAAAATGTGGGCTGGACCCCACAGTTCAGGCAGTCTGTGATGTTTCTGCACCACGCTCCTCCCTCTAAACAAAGTAAAATATTTCGAATATTTAAAAAGATTCAAAAATCATGTCTTTATAATAATTAGAGATCAAAACTTTTCTCAATATTGTGAAGAAAAAGAGTTTTAACTTCTATAAAATTTGCAATACTAGGTCCTAAAGGATAACTTAAGTTAACTGCTCATAGCAAGAGTATTTAGTAACCTGAAAATAAAGCAAACAACCTATTATGACATTTTAAATTATCCTGATAGTATAAATTATTTGTACTATCCATGTCATAAGTAATTTCTGGGAAAAAAATAACAGCCATATGTCTATATATAAAACGGTAGAATCAAACTTGTGCTATGTTGAACTTACTGAGAGTAGAATAATCCAGTTTCTGACTCCATATCCAAATCCTCGGTCAAGATGGTATGCTGGAGGTGATCCGTCCAAGCACACTGCAAGTGAAAAGGATTAATATAACTCTTATGATACTACATGCATTTATTTGTCTAATTTAAGTTATTAATTTCTGCATATAATAAGTAGTGTAATTAACCTGCTCCTTTTGACAAAGCATTCTGAACAATTGTTTTCTCAACAAAGTATGCATGATCTATGCCTTTCTCTTGTTTAAATGATTCATTTACTTTTGCAGATGCAATTTTGATGATAGCCAGAGAGCAAATAAGTAAGCAGACAAGTTGAACAGATCTTGTTGCCATCAATATCCTGTAGAAACACAACGACTAAGGATAAGAAATCAATATTAATAAGAATATATTTTCACTGAAGCTTCTCCAGTGAAGGACTTGTGATTGGAGCTTCTCTGCTTGCAAATATCCGTGAGTCTTGAAATGGCTGTGCAAGTGTGAAACTAAATGTGAATATATTGAGTGATAATTTTTTTTTGTTTATTCATTTTAGTTACATCCATAGAAGAGAGAACGTGGGAGCGAGGAGTGTGTCGTGCAGCATGGATAAATCATGTGGAAAGAGCATGTGCTGACACAAGTTGATTTTTGTAGGGGGGTTATTCACAACTTGAACCTTTGCACCATTGATATTTGGCCAAAAATTATATATTTAACCATTGTTATTTCATATTTTAATATTTTTAATATTTTTTGAGTTTTAATTATATTACTTTATGTTTAATATTATATTGTGTAGGAATAAAGCAGTGTAAAGATAAAGAGATTTGAGTTTTTTTTTTTTTTAAAATAAAACGCAAAAGAAAAAAAGAAGAAAAACAAACGAATAAAAAAGGAGAGAAAGGGGGACACCCTTGGGTTGGAAGACAATAAAAAAAAAGATATACAATTCAGATAAAAAGGCCTGCAACTAGATGAATGCAAAGTTAGGTAGTTAACGTTTCTGGTTTCAGCGCGAGGCGCTGTCCTCGACCCTGCATTGCGGGATTTTTTTTTTCTATTTCGCCTTGTTAGGAAATGGTTGATAGGAACTTAAGACTAGGGCATTCAAAGTTGTCGATGGTTTAACCTTTTGGGACAAGGTTATTTCGGTCTTACACGGTCTCAATTCATATAAAAGGGGTCCTAAACCTTTGGAGTAAATCGAACACACTTCAAAGGAGAATTCACGTGAAGGAATGGAGACCACACTTGGAGGAGGCTTCCAACTAGTTTTCTTCTCTTCTCTTCCTTTAATCTAAAAGTTTATTAGTTCTACAGTTGTGAGGTGTTACATGAACGTTGTAGTTTGAAACTTAAAGTATTCTTATTATTTTCTAATATTAATTTATTTATTCAATCTTGCGTTGTGATGACCCAAAAGGTCCACTTGTGTTGCAAGTAAATTCAGTGTTTCGAGGCCTAAAAATCTTCCTTTTACCTCACCTTGATTTGCGTGCATGGTCCGGACCTATATTCAGAAAGCCTTCTATGTGAAAATATGAGAAATAGAAATTCTAGAGTTAAAATTTGATTATGGTTGACTTTGGCCAATATTTTGAGCAAACGGACCCGGATCTGTGTCCCGACCATCCCGGGAGGTCCACAGTAAAATATGGGACTTAGGCGTATGTCCGGAAATGAATTTCGAGGTCCCAAGCCTTAGAAATCAATTTTTGAAAGAAATTATTTTACTGAATTATCTAAGAAATAAAGAAAAGAATTAATGTTGAAACCATTGTTATCGGGCTCGTATTTTGGTTCCGAAACCCGATACAAACTTGTTATAGTATTTGAAAGATAACTGTGAAATTTGGCGAAAAATGGAGTTTATTTGACGTGGGTTGGACTTCCGGTTGAAGAGTTATGAACTTTGAGAGTTATTGATGAAAATGTTGAGTTTTGAGGTTTAATTCATGATTTTACATGTTATTTTGATGATGTGATCGCATGAGTAGGTCCATATGATGTCTTTGAGTTAGTATGCACACTTGGTTTGGAGTTCCGAGGGCTCGGGTGAGTTTCGGGTAGGTTCCGGGATGGCTTATAATTACCATGTTCTTCCTAAGTCTATACACCTACACCATCAGCCAAAGAATCCCCAGCCAACTTCTCCACAACAACAACAAGCTTCTTTTAAAGAGAAGTAGAGCCTTTTTTAAGTCCATCACTTTCGTCTGTATCACCCTCATTACCCAAAGATATTGTAGTAGGAGAGGATGGAATATTACCTGATTTTGATGAGATGTTCAGATCAACCCCTTCAACACTTGGAGTATCAGAAATGCCAGATGCATGGACACGCTCAACCACACCAGGAACAGACATTCTATCCAGTCGCTCTTCCTCAACACGCTGACTAGATACTTCTACCCCTTTGTCTCTTTCCATGATTTCTTCTGTAGTTTGAAGAAAGCGAGAAGTGGAGGAAGTCTGTTCTGGTTTGACCTTCTCTCTTTTAGCAAAAAAAAAAGGGAGAAGTAATAAATTTTTAGGGATATTTAGAGTAAAAAGAGGGATTGGTCACTATTGGGTGTGAGAGAAGAGATGGCTAGTCGGATCGGTTTGTTACGAGTGCAACGTTTTATTTCAAAAGTCATCAAAAGAGGCGGAAGTAATAAATGACGTTGTACTCTAGCTGTTTAAAATGCATATAAGTGTAAGAGGAACTCCTAACCTCAATCATAAGAACCAGGTTGCTTTATAATTTTTGAAACTATGAGCATCAACTTTCAATTAACTGCAATGTCATTTGGCACTTTTTTGTTCTGAATTTTCCATGCGTGTCTATTTCTAACGGTATAGAATTGAGTTAAAAGTTGTCAGAAAACACTTTTTAGCAATTCACCTTACCATCCTTTCATAGCCAATCATTGAGGGACTGGGTTCCCAGTTCAACTTGTTCAACCCTAACTCCAGGCGATTTCTTTCAGAATGCTCTCTGCTCAGTGCTTTGGTAAAGATATCTATTACCTGGTCCTTTGTTTTACAAAACATTATACATATGAGTCCTTTTTCAACATTGTCCCTCAAGAAATAATGTCGCACATTAATGTACTTTGTCCTCTAATGCTGAACCGGGTTCTTTTCCATGTTGAGAGTGAAAGTACAAGAGAGGGGGGGGGGGGGAATTGCTTATTTTAAAATTAATTATTATAAGTTGAATAGTTTTTCAATTAGTCGACAAGATGTAATAGCGAGATACTAAGAAGCGCATAATTAAAATGCAAAAGTAAAGTGCAGGAATTAAAGTCAACGGAGTTTTTATACTGGTTCGAATTCAATGTGAATCCCTGTCCAGTCCCCTTGGGTTGCAAGGGAGTTCTGTTTCAATGATTGAGTTTCTTAAGTACAAAGTGAATGGTGAAGTTTACACCAATAACTCAGTTTCTATGTCACTTCTTTTTTCTTGATACAATGCCTCACTGACATTTTTCTCTCTTTTTTCTCTAACTTGTTACACAACAGATCTAGAAGACCTACAATGTTTGTTTGCAGTAGAACAAAGAAAGGGTAATTGGTTCGATCAAAGTATATTTCTCTAAGACCTAAGGTTGCATATAAATACTTTGTAGGAGACCGTTACTGAATAGATTTGCCAACCTAATAGATTGATCCTTATAAAGAAATTAATTCTTTCCAAGAATAAGGGTAATTCCCGTTACTCTTCCTTGATGTGTGGACTTTGACAGCTTTTCATCTTTGAGTCTTGGTAGCGCTGGATTTGCTCCTTAAACCTAGGTCCTTCCATCTTCAATGCTTCTTTTCCTTTTTAACTCTTCAAGCAATCTCTGATATGATTTTCTTGCCAGATTCTCAGTGCTTCTTTTCCTTTTGAGTACTTCAATCAATCTTTGATTGATTTCTCCCTTTGATTTTGATTGTTGCACTTCGATCTTGGTTGATTACCTTGAGTCCCTACACTAAAAACACTTATATTATTTTTCATCATTAAAACTAAAACCTAACATAGAGAACTTTTGTTATCACACAATAATGGCATAGATTAAGAAAACATACCAAAATCCTCTAGTTGTTGCTTGTTCCATAGCAGTTGGGCACAACAGGAAGCAGCTGCCACATATTCAGCTTCTGCAGTAAAGAGGCCATAGAGTTTTATTTTTTGTACCCCATGAAATCAAGCATGACCCCATAAAGTGTGTCATTCCAGATGTACTATTTCTATCGACTAGATATCCAGCATAATCAACATCAGCATACCAAATTAAATCAAAATTTTCTCCTGAGGGATAATAGAGGACCAGGTCCTGCATTCCCTTGAGATATCTCAAAATTCTCTTGGCAGCCTTCTAATGAGATTCTTTTGGACTTGATTGAAATCTAGTACATAACCCAACATTAAACACAATGTTAGGTCTGCTGGCGGTCAGGTACAGAAGTAATCTAGTAATACCCCTATACATAGTTTCTTTTACCAGAAAACTAGGTTCGTCCATGTCTAGACGAGTGGTAGTAGCAATAGGAGTAGCGATGGTTTTGAGCTTTCCATTTCAAATATTTTCAGCAGCTCCTTGATGTACTTCTGCTAACTTATCATAGTTCCTTTAGAGATTTGCTTTACTTGTAACCCAAGGAAGAAGTATAGTTCCCACATCATGCTCATCTCAAATTCACTTCCCATGAGCTTTGCAAACTCCTCACAAAGGGAATCATTTGTTGCACCAAAAATGATGTAATCAATATAGACTTGCATAATTAACAAGTGCCTCCCTCGTTTCTTCAGAAACAAGGTGTTGTCAATTTTCCCTCTAGTGAAGCCATTCCCCATAAAGAACCTGGACAATCTCTAGTACCATGCACGAGGGGGCTGTTTAAATCCATATAAATCTTTGTCAAGCTTAAAGACATGTTCAGAATGTTCATGACATTTAAATTCAAGTTGTTGCTTAACAAAAACTTCCTCCTTCAAGTATTCATTCAGAAATGCACTATTAATATCCATTTGGAACAATTTCAATTTCATATGAGATGCAAAAGCAATAAGAATTCTAATGGCTTCTATTCTGGCAACAGGAGCGAAAGTTTAATCGTAGTCAATTCCTTCTTCTTGATTATGACCTTAGACCACCAGCCTAACTTTATTTCTTGTTGTATTGCCAAACTAATCAAGCTTGATTCTAAACACCCATCTAGTTACAATCATTGTTCTATCTGAGGGCTGAGGAACCACATGCCACACTTTTCTCCTTTCAAATTGAAGGAGCTCTTCTTGCATAGCATCAATCTAATCAACATCTTTCAATGCTTCCTTGATATTGTTTGGCTCAATTTGTGACAAGAAGTATGAGAAAGCAAACATGTTTCTTGCCTTGGATCTAGTCTGAATACAGGAGTCCAAAGGCGTGATCACATTTTAAAGAGGATGTGATCTCTTGTGCTTCCAGTTAGACACCTGGATTTTAGGACGTGAGGTACCAGGTTCCTCCATGTGTGGCCCATCGTTGGCATCAATGGAAGTATGAATGACACTTTCTTGCTCTGCATCAGGAGTACCTAGTACAACATCAACAACTCTATTGCCAGCTTCAGTTGCTATGATGCAGGGACTAGGTTCCTACAAATCAGCTAGAAGTTATGATATATCTTCTTCACTAATCACCTTGACTTGACTTATTAGATCTGCTTTCCTATT